TATATATATACATATACATACATGTACATACAGATATATACATATACTATACTATATATATATATATATATATATATATATATATGTACATACATATACATACATGTACTTACATATGTATATATACTTATACGTACATATACATACATGTACATACATATATATACATGTACATACAGATACATACATATATATACATATACATATACATATATATATATATATATATATATGTACATACATATACATACATTTGTACATATACATATACATACATATACATACATATGTACATATACATACATATGAACATATACATATACATACATATACATACATGTGCATACATATACATAAATATACATACATATACATATACATATACATACATGTACATACATATACATACGTGTACATGTAATCTACATACATGTACATGTAATCTACATACACGCACTCGAACTCGCTGGCTGTATGTACAGCAGAGCGCGCGCGAAACCCTTCTCCCTCAGAATGATCGCGTTTTCTCCAGGCCTGCACGCACCACCACCGCTGCTGCTGCTGCCGCTGCTGCTGCTGCTGCCGCTGCTGCTGCTGCTGCTGCTGCTGCTGCTGCTGCTGCTGCTCGCTGCCGCTGCCGCTGCTGCTGCTGCTGCTGCCGCTGCTACTGCTGCTGCTGCCGTTTCCTAGCATCGCTCTCAACAGGTGCTGTGCGGGGAGGGGGAAGAGAACAACGCCAGAACGCCGCGGAGCTGAATCTGACGCCGTCGCGTTTTTACTCGCGCCGCCGCTCTCTTGCGCTATCGCGCCACCGCAGCTCACGCGAGGGGCAGGAGAGGAACGTTTTTAGGCACTTGTTGACATTAATGCGCTTGGTCGTGTATCGGCTTTCGTGTTAATTGGGGTTCCGACTCTCTCCTCTCTTTCTCTCTCCCCCTCTCTTTCTTTTCCACTTCTCGCTCTCGCACGCTGTCTCGTGCGCTCTCTCTGCTTTTCCCGCTATTACTCTCCCGTTTGCGCGCTCTATTTCTTTCTCGTCCTCGCTCGCGCCCTGTGTTGCTCTGGTATGCTTTCGCTCTCTCTGTCGCCCAATATCTGCAGGTAGAAATGAATGCAGAGATTGCGAAGACGAAAAAGGTGGGGCAGAAGCAGCAGCAGCAGTAAGAGGAGGAGGGGGAGGAGGAGGAGGAGGAAGAGGAGAAAGAAGAAGAGGAGGAGAAATACGAGAAGTACGATGAGGAGGAAGAGGAGAGGAAGAAGACGTATTGAGTCCGTTGTAACCACAGGCACAAGAAAGCGCTCGTGCACCGACTACAGTAAACATAAATATCAGTTATACAAGTATCGGCGCAGAGTTACAACAGCTTCCGGCACATGGTATGTATGCACTGCTGTTGTGTATATGCATGCTAGCCGCTCCTGCTCCCGCTACCGATACATACACACACGCTAACTGAGTAGCTCTGGTCCTGCTCTTACTACTGCCTTGTGTGTATACATGCTAGCTGTGTGGCCCTGCCCTTATTATGTCAAGGGAAAAGATGCAGTAAAATCTGCAGAGACATCGTCGAGATAACACTAAGCCAATACGGAGGCGTTCCTAATTCGACGCCAGCCAACAATGATAGGGGCCATCGCGAGGCAACACCGAGACAGTACAGGGGCATCGGTAGAACTACGTCGGAGCAAAGAACGGACATATGATCAATCCTTCAATTAATAACATCGTCTTCATAGATACCTCCCACGCAAACGATCTCGAGTGTTCAACCCATCACGCCACCCCCTCCCCCTCCCTACACTCTCCATCCGCTTTCCCCCGAAACAACGCATCAGACCGAAGTAAACCGTGGCACGCAAACAGGGAAGCTACACCGAGGCCGTGACACGCCGCAAAATCCAGAAGCCCTGCAAACGAAGGGAGTTTGAATGAAGCCCTATAGCATAGCAACGACACGAGGCGCAGGGCAGACGACGTTTGCGATCGTATCTTGGCCGTAATAGGGTGCTGGCGTTGACAAACATCGCCAGCCATCTATTTACGACACGCTACACTGATTAGACAGCGCACGATGCGCCATCCAGACAAGCTACAGAGAGGGAAAGAGACAGCAGGCGTGAGAGAGCGAGAGAGGGGCGAGAGAGCGAGTGGCTGAGAGAACGTTAGAGAGAGGGAGAGGGAGAAAAATAGAGAGAGGGAGAGAGGGAGAGAGGGCGAGAGAAATCGCGGTAGACCGAGAAAGAGAGAAAGAGGGAAAGAGTAGAAGAGAGAAAGAGAGAGAGAGAGAGAAAAGGGAAAGAGATTGATAGACAGATAGATAATTAGATAGATAGATAGCTAGATAGATAGATGGATAGAGCGAGCGAGAGCGGAGAGAGAAACTAAAAAGAGAGTCAGAGAAACAAATAGATAGATAGAGAAAGAGAGAGAGAGAGAGAGAGAGAGAGAGAGAGAGAGAGAGAGAGAGAGAGAGAGAGAGAGAGAGAGAGAGAGAGAGAGAGAGAGAGAGAGAGAGAGAGAGA